GGGGGCCGCCCACGGACACGCGTGCTCGGGGGGCAGCCGGCCCTCCCTCCCTCCCTCCGCCTCGCTTCCCACGGCCGTCCCACCCCATGACCGATCGCTTTCTTTACAGGGAGCTCATAACTAACGGCGTGCGCAGGACCCTCGCCCTTCAAGCACGAAATGTCTCGTACTAATTTTTTCATGTAATTAACGACTCTCTTCCCCCGAGCTTCTTCCGAAGGCACGTGAGGGATGGCGCAGGTTGAACCCGCCGTGTGACAGCAGGTCGTCCGCGGCTGGCGGGACCGGCGCTAAGTCAAGAGTTGCCCGTCGGTGCCCGCGCTGCGCCGGCCTGGCTGCGCCCTTCCGCCGGCCTGGGGGTCTGCGCCGCGGCCTGGCGCTGCGGGCGCCCGGCTGGGAAAACGCACATGGCATCTCCCACCTTCTCCTTTCCCTTTTACGAGCGAGCTCCTGCTGCTGTCTGCTACGTTCCTGAACGTAGCTGCGATGCGTTGGAGGGGCTGACCTGGGACGTGGCCTTGGCGACCTATTCCTGAGCAAAATGCTGCGATCGGTGCGCTCCAAACTCGGTCTCCGTATTTCCATTAAAAACCGTATGATCTAATTTCAAATCACAGCATTGCCTCAATACCTGTGTGTCTGGGTGAGGCCTCGGGATGTCCCTAAAACTAACAGAGAACATCGCTGCTGCCAGCCAGAGGAGTGAACTTTGTGCTGCCTCCTGGTCACAGTCCTGGACTTTGCTATCTCAAAAAACCCCATGATTTTTTGTAAATTAGCCTACTAATTTCATCTCTTGCCTGATTAATGAATTTCAAGACAGCCGTTAGCTCTGGCAATTTTTGTATATGCTTGGAAAAAGAAGAATGTAAGAAATTCGTGCCTGCAACTGCGGTTATAGCAACCACAAATCCGATATTTGTGTTTTTGCAAGTCCAAAGTTGTATTTGAAGCGTAAAGAGCTACAATTAGTTCATTTTGGGACCTGTAACACCAATCTCTTGGACTGGATGTATCCAACTGAACACAAGCAGTGGCAGTGACACTGTTGGATTTACACTGTTTGGGGTTTTTTGTCCCTTATTATTGGTGACAATGTTGCTCCTTGGCCGTCCTGCATCTGAAAGCCTTGCTCTGATCGCACTAATTGCGTTAATTCCTGCTCTGCTCGGGCTCACAGCCCCATCTGGTGGCACAGGGACTCCTGCCGGTCTCTAGCAGAGCTGCCAGACCCAAATCAAAGGCAAAAAATACCCTGAGCTGCTGAGCTGGCGGTGGGTACTCGCAGACTCCCATGTCTTAGTGAAGCTCTGGAGCAAAATGGCTCAGCCCCTTGCTGGAAGTTCTCACAAAGCTGTGCTAGCTGCTAATGTAAAGATTAAAGCAATCTGAATTTTGCTTTTCTGGGCGGAAAAGTTCTTCCCATTAAAGCATTGCATTTATAATACGAATTTGAGACCCATCTGTTAGAATATATCACTTAAGTAATCACTCATGTCCTTAGTTTCTGCTTTTAGGAAAATTATCAAACCTCTTCCAGACGCCCCGTAGAACTTTCCTCTGTCTCCGGGTCTGGCTCTGACCTCACGCACGGTTCAGGCACTGATTCAGATATTTAAGCAGAGGTGTAATCTGTCACGTCTGTGCTCCCAGTGCCTTCAGAAGCACTCCTTTTGCTTGAAATAAGACACATCTAAACATACATGCTTTGCAGAATCTAGTGCTTATACCACTAACTTGTAAAGTCTCATAATTGTGTCTGTATTGTCAGGTTTTTTCTTTTCATTGTTAATTAAAAAGCTCTTTGTTGTTTGCTATCTTTAAATCTATTCCTGCTTTCTTAGGAATACCGACACACAAGTTACTAGAATGCAGTCTCCTATTTTGCTTCTCTTTTAAATGACAAACACTAACCTGCTATCCCTTTCACCTTTGTAATTGTATATTTAGCATATAATGTAAATAATCTTTTATTTATATGGCAGAATGGAACGTTTGAAAATTAATTCAATTGTTACAGCATCTGGGTAATTCAGATGAACAAGGGATGGGTACAGGTATGCTGGTGACCACGTTCATTCCCGTGAAAGAGCCTGTCACTCTCCGCTAGTTTTGTACAAAAGCATTTAGCTGAACTTAATTGACCAAACAGAAATGGTGTTTCCTGGCTGTTTTAAGTTATGCTGGGCTGTGCAATTATAAACAATAAGAATCTCTACAGTGAATTTTCCACCTCTTTACCTTTCTACAATACATAACCAGAACCTCAGCCTCACTCATGTCGTGTTTGTATTTTTTTTTCCTCAATAGTCTTCGCAGTCTCACTGGTTGACAGCAGAGGAGAGGAACCAAGTTTTAATTGATCTCAAAGCTTCAGGCTGGTCTGAGTTAGGCGAAAGAGATGCCATCTACAAAGAGTTCAATTTCAAGAATTTTAATCAGGTAATTATTGTTATGTACCACTTTTAATATAAAGGAAATGTAATTGCTTTCATTTCCATACGATCCTGATGGGAACATATTTATATTCAGAAATTTGGGAGTATCCTTGTGGGGCCAAACCCTCTTGAGTTTGCCTCGACGGATTGCTCTCTGATTCTGATCTCATTAGGTGGAATAACTTAGTTCCATTTTGTAGTTGTTAAGTAGATTTGTTCTAACATTACAATTTCTTGATTATAATATTAGGGTCAAGGTCAGGGTCGATACTATGAGATTAGAGAAATAATATTTGACCCTGATTTTTTTTTTCATTGCTAACACTCGTAAATGAGTGCTGGAAATATGTAACTGATGGACAGCAGGGTTCATTTTTGTCAGGGAAAAACTTGAGAAAAATGGGTAAATATAAGAACAGAAACTTTTGGCAAATAAGGTGGGGAAAATATGATATGTTTCACCTTCTAAGCAGGAAGACAGAGTTCTAGTATATTCTTGAGTGAATCGTAGTAGCTGATCTCGCAGTGTCTTTGGCACGACAGACTGCTGGTTAGACCTCGCTGGGTTTTTATTTGGAGTCAGGATTCTAAGCCATGTCTCAAGCTTGCAAGAACACGTCTTGGACATCAGTTACAAACTTGCTTTAGAAATACTGAATTTATCTTGAGATCTGTGGGTCAGCTACATTCCCCTAAAAAATGGCCTTTCTGAGGAATCCTGACATTGCTTAGAAAAAAGTCATGTTCCAAGAGCATGCATTTCCCTTCTGTTTTATTTCTGACGGAGAGGTGAGCGCTTTCTCGGGTGGGAGAGGAAACCCAGGGTTTTGTTTGGGCGATGGCTCTTGCCGAGCTTGTTCTTTTCCTCCCTATGGGAGGGATGCAGCGAGCTCCAGGCTTCGGGAGGCCATGGGTTTACTGGTGTGTGTAGGGACAAGGATCTGTGCTGTGAGCTGTTTATTTGCATGGCTATGCCTAAACCCAGACCAAGATTTTTTAGGAAATCACAGTGAGCTAGATAAACAACAATTTGTAACACTGGCTCTTTTCTTGCTGTTTCAGACAGTAGTTGTCATGGTAAGGAAAGCCCAGGCAGTCGAGAGAAAGTGGGCGAGGTGCTCCCGGCACCTCTGAGGTGGGCGAAGGCAAAAGAGAAAACAACTGCAGAAAAATCCAGCTCACGAGCAGGGCGGTGCTGGTTCAGGGAGCACGTCCAGAGCCCCGAGTACATTTTTTCATTGCACTTCAAACCTGAACGTTAGCACAGAATAAATAGAACCGCATCAGCGAATTCAGAGGGCAACAAAGGAGGGAAGCCCATGAGAGGGAGATGACATGAAACCTTGGTGAGATGTGCGGGCAGCTTGGAGCTGGAGCAACCAGGGGAGACCAGCACATTTGACAATGGTGATGTAGAAGTAACCCTTGGAAGAGTTGAGATTTTCACGCTTTGTGCTTCAAATATTCATGAAACGACCTCTCTGCTGGGGCATGGTCAAAGTCTGTGTTAGTTCAGCAAACGAGAAATTACTTTTTTTTACCCGAAGTTAATTAAAAAGTGGGTTTGCACACTGTAAATAAATAAGTCAATTTGATCAGATGGACTTAGGCAGTATGCCAACAGACAGGTCAAGCGACAAATCGGTGTGCTGTACCAGCAGATATCTAGAAAATCCATTGCTTCAGCAAAAATTCACAAAGTTGTGGATTTTTGACTGTGTAGATTTATCTTGCAACATAGGTAGAAATCCATGTGTCTTCCTAATTTGAAGATTGATGAAGCACATACTAGTGTAGGAAGTTGAGTATATTTAAATATGCTCATTAGTAAATGATGACGTATACATTTATACTTCTAGTACATGTCATCTTAGAAAGAGGACTCAAAAAAAAATTACCACTTGAATTGTTTGGGAGATATTGGTACAGTCTTCTTCATTCTTGATTGCCCTTCATGGATGTTGGGTAAGGCAGAAATGAGAGCAGAGGCTGGGAATTGGCTTCTAAACTGAGCATTCTGTGCCCAGCTGGGAGAACAAGCTGGGCAGGTGGGTCCTCTGTGCAGCTCTGGTTGGATCAAGGATATATGCGAGTATGGGAAGGCAGAATTTCACCTGCTGATTTGTAGGAACTAGCTGCAGTTGCAGAGGGCAGAAGCCGTTCCTGTTATCGTAGTCCAGGAAAGGGCTCAACGTGCAGATCCCGAGGGCATGTTCAGAGCTGGTATTAGACAGCAAGTATTTGCCTTTCAATAAGTTGAAGCTGAAAGTAAATTAAAATTATGGCCCTATGCTTATTGATGCTTATGTTTATGATAACTATTAGTAAATATTGTGTTTATTACAACCTGGGGAACAAATGGCAAAAGCGGAGCTGTGCCTGCATTGTACTTTGGGAGAATTTAGTCCTGCAATGAAAAAAATTGAACTTGTAGGTACAACTTCTTTCATTTCACGTAATAAATATTCTGTTTACATTATTTAAAGTGCGAGTATTTAGTAAAAGTCAGAGCACTGAGAAATATCATTTCATCAGTGATCTTCCTGCTGCCCTTTTACAGATGGCGTAAAATCAGGTGTGTAAAAAATAAAAAAAAAGAGTAGTTGAGCTGACATGAAAGGTATTTCAGATTTATGTTTTGCAGATGATATTGGTATGATTGATGTATTCATTGCGCTTTTTTATTGCTTCTCGCAGATAATGTTCATGATGCATGGAAAATTCTGTGGCTTTAAAATCTATGCCAGGTTTACAAAGTCTGTGTATGTCAACAGATGTTAAGAACATAAACACAACTTTTATTATAAAGTTGTGCAAATGTGTAGACATGAGCTTGGTTTATGTATATTATTTTCAGCATGAGAATGAAATGAAACTTCTGTGAAACAAGAGTTATTTAGATTCCCGAAGCTTTCAGGCTGAGATTAGCTCGGTTAAAAGCGATCAGCAATGGGCTGCCTTTGTAAGGCTGACAAGCTAATGACACTTCTGGCTTATGGAATTAGCTTGTAACCCAGAACTTGAAAGCGCTGGTGCTGTTTGTTAGTCTGATGATACATTTTCATGAAAATGGGCTTTGGAGGTACAATTCTCTGAAACAAGCTGGAAACCAGCCTGGGGTCCCAGCTGGAAGCCCTTTGTTAGTTATGTTGCTGTGGGTGCCCACCACGCACTGGTCCCGGCGTCCTGGACTGGGCAGCTGGGTGCTGGGTAGTTGGTGCTGCTCCGTGTTCCCGTTGCCTTTAGCGTGAGACAGGCTCCTGGCGGGTGGATGTTCTGAATCTTGTATAAAATATAAAAATACACCAACAGTGGGGGAAGAAAATGCAAACGCAACTCAACTGTAGAGGAGAGCACCTTGTCTAGAAGAGCTGTGCTGATTGCACCGATGCATCTGTTCCTCCTTACCTACTACACCTTGCAGTTGCCACGCGTTATCGCTGCTGTTGAACTGCAGGTAGGCAGTGATGAGTTAAAATCAGAGTCTTTTACCTCCAGGACCCTCGCTTGGGTGCAGTCACTCAGAGCCCCCCTGGTTGAGTCGCTTTCCCTGGGGAGTGCATGCTTGGCAGAAGCCTCTGACCGTGAGCGAGGTCTCGGAGAGTAGGTGGGCTCGGACTGCTCCACGGCAACTCTCGAGCCCTGCCACGCGTCTGGGTGCTGGTGAGCCTCCGCAAACCTCACGGCCGCATCAGGGCGCTTATTCAGGGCCTCTTTCCCCGTCTGCAGGGAAGAGAAGAGCAGCCAGCAATTTTTTCCCTGTCTGCAGGGAAGAGAAGAGCAGCTAGCAAGCCGTTCAGGCGACTGTAGCATCAGGAAGGCACACTCTTGTCCGTTCATGTCTGTGTGCTACTGAAACAAAATGTTTCTCTTCCAGCTGTGGAACAAGCCCTCTGCTTCCAGTCTGCCCAAGCAAAATTCGGAATCAGGATAGAAAGTTAATTTACACCTCCAGACCATGCTGGTAACTTCTCCTAGTTATCGTTCTGCAAACTCAGAAAAGAAGCTGCAGAAACGTTAGGACTGTTGCTAAAAGTTGGTCATCGAGGGAGGGAAGGGTTGCTGAGGACCTCGATGTCCTGGCCTGTGTCTCGGGAATTTCCTGGGATTTTCTCGGCATTTTGGATCAGTACACCTTGGGAGGGGTGATCCTGCAAAGGGGACAGACTTGGCTTAAAAATCTGAATTTCCCCCAGGTTCATCTCGAGCCCAGTCCCGGCTGGGCAGGCGGTGGGCGGCTGCGAAGGGCTCCGGGTGATGGGTGCTGAGCGCTCGGTTTGGGTCCTTTACCCAGCTGCTCATTTTCGCCAAATTTGCAGGAACATCTTAACTTTGAAACTTCCATGTCTCTTGTCAAAGTTGGTTGGATTTGACCAGAGGGTTTAAGGGGCAACTGCCTGTGTGATTGCATTTCCTTAGGTAATCACGCAACGGCAGAAAATGCAGTTAGGAAATTACAAAGGTGGGCATGTTTGCTGATGGTCAGGTTCAGCATTTACAGCTGCTTTCTTTTATAGGGTAAGTTTTTAATTAAGGTTGTTTTTTTTTAAAAAAAGTCATGTAGGAAGCCTCCATAAGACCTCTAATGTCATTTTATAAAATGACAGGAAATCAAATGGTCTAAGAGTTTTAAAAGCTATCTTAAATACGTTTTGTGTTTTGGGGCTACAGGACACAGGCAAAAGATGAGCCTGAGCAGAGGGGACAACAAGGAAACGCTTTGGAGGACGGTATGTAGCGAGAGTAGAAGCACATGTGTTTCTTTGCAATTGTGGACTCTGGGTTTTTGAGAACTTATGTGCAAAAAATCTAGAACGGTTAAATAAATTATTATTCTCACTTCGCATTTCCTTTCCAAATTTTCTAGCTCTCTTGCTTGAAATCCAGGGAAAAAAAAAATCCGATGCCCCCCCCCCCCCCCCCCCCCTCACAAAACACATCTCTTTCTTTTT